AAAATATTTAACATAACAGGCACAGGTACGTATGACACATTTTTTTAACATTTATATAAAGTCCGTAGGTACTCTTTTGTTTTAAATGAACCAATTAATAAATATTTGGTATGAAAAAGTGACCGATAATGTGTAGATAAGAACGTACTTTTTGTAGTATCGATAAAATACAATTTCCAAGAGCCACTTCTACTCATGGTGGCTCTTTTATTATTCAATGATATACCTACCTTTTTTCAGATTAGATAAACGTGAAATTACATTTACATGACGTATAGGTAGGTACCTATACGAGTCTACAATGTCTCTAAAATAAAATTGCACCTAAGTGCTTGTTCACAATGGACATAAGCGTAACAAAAACATAACAGATGCATAATTCATAATGTTGAATAGTAGCAAACCAACGTAGGTGTTCACAATGATTACATAATTTTTATTTTTTTGTAAATGTTTGTGTATGTTTTATGTCCTACCGAAAGGGTACATAAAAAATACATAAAGTTGGGTCGGTTTCAACTTTACGTAGGTTTTATGAAAAATCTAGTGGAATTAGGTGTATTTCTGTTGGGTACAAAGACGCAGCTGTTGGTTTGACATTTCAGTTACTACGTCTAACGTCGATGACATCTCTTCTGCCAACATAATCTGGTTATTTTTAAATTGGTACATAGTTTTTGGCGCATTATTTCATAGTTTGGTGTGGTTTGGTCCTTCGTGTGTTGTTTTTTGATTATATCCAACACGACATGGAAAACGTATAGACGTCGAATTATTAATTAGTTTGGTGCGATTAAAACCCTAATTGTTTAATAAAGGGGACAAAAGATATAAGGTTAATAGGTGATCGAATAATCCTGGTGTATGAAAAAAACCATTCTTCATCATGCAGCTTCATTTCTAGACACGCTTAAATTCTTAAATTCTCCCCTTTTCTCTCGGTATCGATTTATAGGTCTGACCCACCAACGCCGTTTTTGTTTTGTAACAACTTTGTCTCTCTGTCTTCTTAACAGTAAAAGCAATAAAACTGTTGAAATTTCCATCTCAGTGACACACATATACACCACAAATAATATTGCTATGTTCTTGACGTTTTGCCGAGTTTAAATTTCGGATTTGCGCCTACGCAGATAATTATAATCTTACGGTCACTGTGAACACTTTCTCCACCTGCGTAAAATTATGTCTTATGTCAATATTATGTTTTATGTATCTGTTATGTTTTTGTAACGCTTATGTCCATTGTGAACAAGCACTAAGTATACCATTGAATAAAAAATAATTTTTTATTCAATGCCTATACGCCACCAACTTGTGTAGTTGTATCTCAAGTGGAGTAGTATAGAACAACTTAAGACCTTCTGCAGATGCACCTCTAAAAAGCATTATGCGGGTCACTCTGTAATTGGGCTCAAGTCTGTTGAGGGCCCAGAAAAAGAGAGGAATAATAAATAAATACTGTAACGTGATTTATTAATTCGGGTTCGATTTATATCAATATTTATTAAACAGAACTAAAACACTATAAAATCCGTACAATTTATATCGATTATTTATATCACTCACACGTTCGCAATTTATATTTCCGCGCTCGATGTTTACGTACTCGTTCGGTAGTAGACTGCCGCGATGTTCGGTCCGCAACCATTTATACACGCAAGCAATGTAAGTCCCGAACATTCTCGAATACGCGTAGAAAATTCCAGAGCGCCAAAGGCGACGTCATGTCTGGAGCATTTCCGTTACAATACGTTTCGAAGAAATCATCAACTTTATTTTTTTATATGGCTCGTAATAAAATTATACACTGTATTGAATAGAAGATACGACGATGGTCAAATTAGAGAAAAGATGCGCACAAATTTCCTGGAAAATGAAAATATATGTCCGATAGGTAGGGTGACCACCTTCGTCTCGAGCTGAACCCGTAGATTCAAAGTGAGCTCTGTCAAGTGAAGGCCAAATCAGTAAGCAAAATAATATGGTTATTACAAAACAAAAATCCATTTATTTTCTAACTATAAAAATATAAAATGAAAGAAAAAAACCAAAAATCTATTTATTTCTTTGCAATAACCTACTTTTTAAACTTAAACGAATACTTCTTATTGCTTTTGCAGCATGTAAGTAATTCATTTTGTTCGTCTCTTTTAATGTATTCAGTAAATTCCTGACATGACATGTTGAAATTCAATTTCGTACAAAGTTCAGCTTTAACCAAATCTACACGCATTCGATTCCGTTCATCTGTCCATAGGTTCGACATCAGAGAAAAAACTCGCTCTACATAGGCATTGCTAACTGGCACAGACAAAATTCTCGAGACGATTTTGTACAGCTGTACGAAGTTTGAATTTTGGAAAATTTTGACCCACAAGCTACCTACGGAAAAATCTGCGAAGTTGATTTCAAGTTTGAGTTTGTCTAGCGTTGACTTCAAAATATCAATTTCATCAAAAAGGGCATCCTGATTAACGTCAATACGACATGCTGTAACAGTTTCCATTATTTGGTTGAACGAAATGGAACCATTTGTTCTAATGTCGATGCTTGAAAAATGCTTGAAAGGTGAATTTTCAAAATCATAAAACTTGCTTAGGTAATCTAGAGTTCTCTGATAAACCTCGGTAGCTTCTTTTTCAAACTTGCGTTTTTGTTGAGGACTGAGTTTGTTTAAGGCGAACTTAACCTTGCTTCCAAAAAAATGTTCGTTCATTCTAGAAGTGATTTTAGTCCTCAATTCGTTCATTACTGCGTGTACTTCAGAGCTCGTTAACGAATTGCTTTCCAGTTTTAAAATCGTATTCAAAACGCTCATATAATGATGCACAAAATAGATATACCTAACACTCAGCAAAACTTAAATTAGCGTTGATATCTTCTTCCATTTCGTTTTGTTGAGTTTTAATGAACTCCCATACATTTTTGTTGCATTGGTCTTCTCCTAATTCCAAAAAATACTTCTTAACGGCAGGCCAAGACTTAATCTGTCGTTCAAGGGCTTTAAACAAAGATAGCCATCTTGTCACGACGTGTCTTAAAACTTTTTGATATTCTAAGTCTAAAAACTCAAAGCATTCCTTAAGATCAGCATTCTTTTTTGCGGAAATAGAAAATTCAGCATAGGTACACTTTAAGTACTAAATTTTCAACGTCATATGAGAGAGCCTTAGTAGCATTTCTACCCGCATTGTGTATCACATGACAGTTACAGTTTTGAGTTTGCCTTCAAAATATTGGGATTCATAGAACGCAACTTCTGGTAAACTTAATTGTGGACGCCATAGTTAACGGATGCATTCGGCCTTATTCTGGTGACCATTGAAATGTATCCGACATTGAAATTTCATCAATTATTGAGAAAATGTCAACGTTGTTTATAATTTGTGATTACGGTGACCTCAACGGCGTTGAATTATTTCTAATAACCGTTGAAAACTAAACAAGCTCGATTAGGTACTTGTTTTCGACTTTTCAACGCCTGAATTCATATTTTGAGGTTAGGTGTACTTGAATTTGAATGTGATTTGTTAAATAAATCATTATGGCAGACGGATTTATTTTGTTAATCGATGCACTTGTGGAAGACGAACAGCGGTAGAATGTTTGCTACTAATCACT